AAAAAAATAAAAATAAAGAAAATTTGAAAAAAGGTAAGTAAGCAATACTGAAAGATTTCATTCAATTACTATTGAATGATGTCAAGTCCTTGAGAGATTTTACCATGCTAATTTGTTCTAATTGTACTTACTTGGATCAACAAATCCAACATCCACATACATTTTAGCAAACACAGATGCCATTGTGAAGGCTAAGATTGGGCCAAAAACTGCTAGTGAATTCAGACTACCTGAAATATTGTAAAACAAATATATCAGATTTTAAGCATTCATGATTCTTATCCAACATGTTTTTAGAAGTAGTATTATACATTTCTCCCAATTATTTTTTTCAGTTAAAAGGAATAGCAATAGTGATAACAGAGGCATTGTTACTTCAAAAGCAGACCAGAGAAAGTTCTCATTCAACCTAACATTTCTGTGAATTACCTAAATAAACAGAGGATTGCCCTTCTTTTGCAAAGTCATCAAGGTAAGAAATTCCCAGTGGTGCTATAGGGGTTTCCCCTATTCCACGAATCATGTTACCCATTAGGACATAGATCCACATGTATGACTCAGATTGCTTCTCACAGCCTATGTAGACAAGAGAGTGTTTTATTGTAAGCAGTAATTTAAAGACCAAATTCCTATCATGAACTCAACTACTTTAGAGCCCTACTTAGTTCTAATTTTGGTTTTTTCTATTCATATTCACTTAGTAGAGTTTGGTAGCACAGATAAGCACACAAAAAAAGAAAACAAGTAAAAATTATCTGAGATTCTACTACACTGAAATAGTCATGGCTAATGTTTTATTACATATCTTCTACATGTTGGTGCACATAAAAATATACATAATGCTCATTATGCATACATATATTATAGACTTAAATATCCAGTTAATAACAATATCTGCTTTTACAGTTAACATTGTATTCTGGCAAGCTTGCCATGCTTTTACCCCTCATGTTATCTTTCATACAGGAATTTTAATGAACGTACAGTACTGTCCTGAATAACAATTTCAATCAAGCATATATTTTCAAATAGCAAAATATTCCTAATTTTAAATTCTGTCCAACAGGGTTGACTTAGTAGTAAGTGTAAATAAGTTTTTGTGTACAATGTCAATTATATCCATGAGATTAATCAGTAATAGTAGAATAACTACTAGTAGACTAATAAAGAGGGATATTTTTGTTCTTGAATATACATTGACAGCATCCAAAAAGTTACAAATTTACACCCTCCCAACAATATATTAAAAATGTGAAATATTTTCCTCTCTTTAATCTTTTTCCTGTGTTACCCTTTATCCTATCTAATAGATAGAAAGCACTGTAATAATATAATGTCTTATTATAGTATATGATTTGTGTTAAAGCAAATCAAAAATGCTTGGTACCGTAGTTGACAATTCCCCAAAAGGTAAGTTTCTATACATATTTAGACTGGTTCTTGCTCCTTAATTTCAAATGCACATGTTCTTCACCAATTTCTTACTTAAATCCCACTTTTTCATCTACTTCTAAAAGTTCTCTATACAGTTTATATTAATACTATGATGTTGTCTGTAGATAAAAGTCAAATATTTCCCTACCTATCTTTAATCAATATTTGCTAAGAAATACCACAACCAGTTTATAAATCAGTTTTATATTTTAGGGTACTTTTACAATTACTACTAATTCTTACCTTTTCCCACTATTTCAGTTGGTGTTTCAGTAAGTGATGACGTTTCACCAGTTAAACAAGTAGATAATGAGTTCTCTGATGCATTATCATGGGTTTCTGTAGAATACCTGTAACTGTGAATATATCACTGCATTTTTCCTTATCTGCAACATACTTTTATTGTCCCAGAAAACCTGAGGAATATTTTCCTTTATTTCTACTTCACTTTTCTCCAAATTATCAAACTCCTCTATACCTATATCCAACCGGTGCTTTAGGAGAGATAAAGGGATGGGAGTATCCAGTAAGAAAGCTCCATGGGCAGGGTGAATTGTTGCCTAGTTCTCAACCTAAGACTGGCTGTATTCTGTTCAAGGTATGAAATAGCTTGTCAGTCCTTGTTCCTTTGAATTATTTGCAAAGATGATCACAGTCTAAACTTAACAATAATAGCTGGGAGTGGTGGTGCACGCCTGTAATCCCAGCACTTGGGAGGCTGAGGCAGGAAGATTGTGGTGATTTTGAGACCAGCCTGGTCTACAAAGCGAGCTCAAGGCCAGCCTAAACTGCATAGCAAAACCCTATCTCAAAAAAAAAAAAAAAAAAAAACAAAAATAAAAAATAAATTTAACAATAATTTATGATAACACTTAAATATTTTAGAGTGATCTTCTTCTAATATGTGATGGTTCATTTACATTTTTATCAACAACCTGATTTGTTTTCATGGATGGACACATGCACTTTAACATTAAACTCTTCACAAATTGGGGAAAAAAGTCTAATATACTTCAACTTGATGAGGAAAAATTTAATAAGATTAGCAGAAATGGAGTTAGACTAGAGATAAATGTTGATACCTAAAAATATTGAAATTACTGGTATCTCCTACAGCAGCAGAACTGAACACCAGGCATTATGCACCACTTCAAAAACTTGAAATAAATGCATAATTTTTGTAGTTAGGGAATTTCACATTATGTAACATAAATATACATGATAAAAGATGCAAGTTTAATACTCAAGGCCTTGAGTTGTCATAAAGCAAAAAAGGATCAGTTTTGCTTGAAGGTAGGGAAGAGGGTAGACTCAAATTTCCTATAAGGGTGATGTGTGAGATGGACAGAAGTTTCATAGGTGGATAAAGGAAGGAAAGCATTCAAGGCTATAAAAATGATACATGCAAAAGTATGATACGATTTTGCATCTGAAGTCTTTGAATGTGGTCTCCAATTAGGCAAAGCAATAAAGATGAAGCTAGGTGTAAACATTAGGAGTAGTAATATCATAATTAGAGAAGCTCTTATAAAATCAAATGTAAAAAATTGAAGCTGATATTGTGAGCAAAATGTATGATTGTTGAATTTGGCAATGAGTAAGCCCTTTTCTTGGACAGAAATGGCTCATTATTTCTTAATATACATTGTTCTCTCCTTCAGCAGTAATTGAAGTTGATCTCTAGGTGGGAACATGGCACACCAAAAGGTCTTTTCTATCTGTGTGAAAACGGAGCTAACATATGGGCATTGTGAAGTTGGCAGAGATGTTATGCATCTGAAATGTCTCTTAGGCTTCATCTTGTGTGTACGCCTCCTCCTCCTTCTCCTTTTTTTCTTCCTAGCTCCTGTTGCCTGGACCAACACTGACACAAAGACTGTGAGGCCAAAAACATACATAGAAGACCCAAGATGATGAAAAGAAGCAGCACCATGCTTTTCACATTGACTGTGAGGTGAAAATGAAGCTTCATTCTTATGTGAGCAGTTCCTATTCTAAATTCTTTCTCATGAGAATCTGATTCTAATCTCAGCTACACAGCGACCTTAGGAAGAATGACTTTGGTGGAATGCTTGTGCAAAAACCCACACTTGAGGAAGTTGAGTAGTGAAGTTTTATTGAGTGTAATTTAAGTCTTATATGACAAGATATGAACTACATTTGTTATACCGAGACAAAGAGTTTATATCCTATGAAACTATATCCTTTATTTAGTGCTATGCATATTTAAATCTATGAAAACCATGATTAATAAAATATCTGGTGAATTATTACATACAAAACACACCAATCTCTATATATTTTTCTGTTTTTTAAGACAGGGTCTCAGTCTATAGTGTAGGCTGGCCTTGAACTCATGTAGATCCTCCTGCCTCAGCATCCCAAGTGCTGGTGTTACAGGTATGTACCACCATGCCTGATTTCTATATATATATTTTGAATACTCTTCTCTAAATTCATAACTTCCAACTTAAAAAAAATAAAAATGAAACTGTATTACTGATTGAGATAATAATGAAGGTTAAGATCACAGAGCTGTTTAACACTTACTATCCCATGAAGAAATGAGGCAAAGCAGTCATAATACTTCCGACTCCCATAATGGCACAACCTATTCCAATTATCTTCGGTCTGTGTAGTTTGGATCCAAAGTAACTGACAAACACGATCACAAACAAGTTTCCTGGAAAGACAGCAAAATTATATTGGCGTGATCCATCCCAGCAAATACTGACTATAACCCATAAAAATGAAGATCCAAGTGGATGCAAACAGAGTATAAATATGGTACCTTTCCTCAAACATTAGATAGCTTAATTGAGGTGAAACTCACCCAACAGTAGTTATTGAAAGGTTTATTAGGCTACTAATAAGAAGAATACATTTTAATAAATGACATAAATACTGCATATGTTATTAGATTTTTAGAAATCTAGAGTAGGTTTTAAATACTAGAGAAATTACTTGAAACATTTGCAACATTAGTGAAGCAGAATTTTAGAAAAATTGAAATTAATTATCTGGGTTTTTTTAACTTCTGTTATGTCCCTGCCATGGTGTCCAGAGCCAGAAATACAATAATAACAATAAGAATAATAATGATAGGAAGAAGAAGGAGAAGGAGGAGAAGGAGGAAAAGGAGGA